CATTAGGAAAAAGTTCCTAACTGTCAAGGTGGTCAAACACTGGAATAAATTGCCCAAGGAGGTTGTGGAATCTCCATCTGTGGAGATATTTAAGAGTAGGTTAGATAAATGTCTATCAGGGATGGTCTAGACAGTATTTGGTCCTGCCATGAGGGAAGGGGACTGGACTCGATGACCTCTCGAGGTCCCTTCCAGTCCTAGTATTTTATGATTCTATGGAGGGGGGGGACGGAAGGAAAGAAGAAGTAGGAGGGGGAGGAGGAGTGATATCTGGGGTGGCTACAGGGGCCGGAGCAGCAACAGGCAGCAATCTCTGCACCATGGTCTCACCCTGTAATCACAGCTGGTGCAGCTGTGGAGAAACCAAAGAGGTGGTCAGTTATCCCTGGGGACACAGTGGGTGAGCTCAGCCCCCCTCTGCAAGGTGAAGACAGCAGGTCTCCTCACCTTCATGTCCTGGTATCCCTGGAAGTGTGAGCTGGCCCGGGACTGTACCCATGCCCCTGTGCTGTACATAGTGTGGGTGTGGGGGGGAGGATGTGCCCTCTGCGTAGAGGGGGCTGATAGAGGGAAGGCATTGTATAGTGTCCCTCCCCGGGGTACGGAGCATGTCATGTGCCTTCATACATACATACAAGTGTGTGGGTAACAGGCCAGGGCCCCTGTGTGGCAGTTAGCCGGGGCCACATGCCCCAGCTGGCACAGTACACGCACAGGTTGCTGCGTGATCCCTGCTCAGCAAGGCCCACACGCACGGTCCCTGGGCTCCCTCTTCCTCACATAAGGGGACAGTGATGGCACTCACATGTTGAGCCCTCACCGACCTCGGGAGACAGCAGTGATATTGCTGCTGTGATGCCTCGGGGGTTCAGGGTGGGTGCCCTGCTCCCTCCAGGCTCCTGTGACTCCTGGCCGTTATCCTCCTCCTCCGTGCCCTGCTCAGGGCCCTCTGCCCCAGGGTCGATGACCACCTGGGGGACATGGACCATCCGGCCCCCCAAGATGCGGTCCAGGGCCTCAAAGTAGGGGAAGGAGTCTGGGTCAGCCCCTGGTTGGGAGCTGCTCCCTGTGGCTTGGCATAGGCCTGCCTCAGCTCCTTAATTTTCATGCGCACCTGCTCCTGGTTGCGCATGTGGCCTTTGGTGGCCAGGCTGTCAGCCATCCATCTGTAGATGGCCGCGTTCCTCCATCTAGTGCGGAGATCATGGACATTGGAGGCCTCCCCCCAAACCTCAATCAGGTCCATGGTCTCCGCACTGGACCAGGAAGGCACCCGCCTTTTTGCAGACCCCGGCAGGCTCCTGGGAGCTGCCAGACTGCTCCTGGGGAGCGGTGGAGGGCTGGCTGGTACTGGCTGGCTGGCTCATGCTGGCAACTGGGTCAGGAGCAGCGCTTGCGGGCTCTGGGCTGGCAAGCCTAGAGCTGGCACAGGCCCTGTGGCCAAACTGAGTCTACCCTTTCAAGGGCTCCGGGGTTGGGTGAGGGAAGCAGAGGAGTTTTCTTGGTTTGGCCCAGAGTAGCCACAAGGGCTATGTCTAGACTGCAAGCCTCTTTCGAAAGAGGCTTTTTCGAAAGTATCTTTCGAAAAAGCCTCTTTTGAAAAAGAGCATCTAGACTGCAAGCAGTACTTTAGAAAAAGCAAGCCGCTTTTTCGAAAGAAAGCAGCAAGTGAGTCTGGATGCTCTCTTTTTAAAAAGCCCTGTTGGCATTCAAGAACGCCTTTTTTCGAAAGAGCACTTTCTGAAATGAGGTTTACTGCCATCGAAAGAAAAGCCGCGTTCTTTCGATTTAATTTCGAAAGAACGCAGCTGCAGTCTAGATGCAGGTGATGTTTTTTCGAAAAAAGGCTACTTTTTTCGAAAAAACCCCTGAGTCTGGACACAGCCAAGGGCACCATGGGAAGCACTGGAGGCCCCCTATTTCGAAATAAGTATCTACACAGCGCTTATTTCGATTTAGCTATTTTGAATTTGGCAGTATTCCTCTTAGAATGAGGTTTACCAAATTTGAAATAAGTGCTTCACTATTTCGAATTTATTTCAAAATAGCGGTTTGCCTGTGGCGAAGCTTTGAAAGTTAATTCGAAATAATGGCTGTTATTTTGAATTAACTTTGATTGTAGACGTACCCTCTCTCTCTCTCTCTCTTTCTGCCTTTCCTTCTCTCCTCTCAATCTCTCCCCCACTTTCTCCCTGGGGAGGCTTTTAAAGGCCTCCAGCAGGCCTCAAGTGGAGTCAGCTGGCCCCAATCTGCCTGGGCCAGGTCCCTCTCAGATCCTCCTAATTGTCCTGCAGTCTTCCACCCATAACTAGCAGGCCTTTTACCCTTTTTGGGCTGCATTTTTCCCACTCTGTAATAGCCCTCTGAACTGACCTTGTCACATTAGAAATTGGTCACAATTCTTCAACTTTACCAACTCACACTTAAAAGTATAAAGCTGATTTAAACTGGTCCTGGTATGAAGTGATTGCCCCTGCTTCTCACTGATTCACCCCTTGACATTTATGGGTTACTGAATACTGCATAGATTATAAAACTAGGAAGGACCACTTTAATCCAAGGGAAAAGAGAAATTGTTTTCTTTTGATTCCTATGAAGTTGACCAATCATCATTCCCCTCCTTTATTTTAATACCATTTGAGGTTTTCTCTTCCATTGCCAGGACGTGATACCTGTGAAACAATGTGAAAATTCAAATATATCCACTCTGATTGGAGCAAATCTTGAAATGTTCACAACGCACAAACTGAGCAACATCTCATTTGTAGTGCTTATAAAACATAACATTGCATGTTAACTAGAGTTGCCAACTGTCCAGTTTTTAATCAGAAGACCTGACTGAAAAGGGATCCTGGTGGCACCAGTCAGCAGCACTAACTGGAGTGTAAAGTCTGGTTGGTGCATGGCTGGCAGGCTCCCTACCTGACTCCACGTGATTCCTAGGAAGTGGAGGATATGGTTGTTTCGGAGGGACAGCCATAGGGGCTCTGCTCTTTGCCCCTGCCACAAATACTGTCTCTGTCATTCACATTGGTCAAAAACTGTGGCCAGTGGGTGCTCTGGTGGGATTCATGCCTGTGAACGGGGACATCTCACAGAGCCCCTTAGCCACCTCGCCCGCTAAAAGCCAGAGGTAAGTGCTACCCAGAGCCTTCACCCCCTGTACTCCAATTTCATGCCCTATCCCTGAGCCCCTTCCTACACTGATTCCCTCATCCTGGGACACCCCTCCTGTACCCCAAACTTCTCATTCCCAGATCCACCCCAGATTTACACCCTCATCTGGAGCCCTCATTCTTTCCATACTCTGAACTCTTTGACCAAGCATGGAGCCCTCAACTTCTTCTGCATCCCATTCCCTTGCTCCAGCCCAGAGCATTCTCCTAAATTGAACCTCACCACAACCTGGAGTCCTATCCCCTCCCACACCTAAACCCCTGCCTCAGTTTGGTGTGAATGAGTGCAGGGTGGGGACAGTGAGTGACAGAGGAATGGGGCATGGAGTAAGTGGGAGTGGGGCTTCGGAGAAGGGACAGCACAGTGGCAGAGCAAAGATGTTCAGTTTTCCACAACCAAAAAGTTAGCAACCCTAATGTTAACCAATCTGAAAAATTAATAAACTATAATGTGTCAGCACCTAAAGATGTCTAACCTACATCACCCAATTGTTGAAGCAAGAAGTGAAAACACAAACAAGCTGTTTTGGTCCACTGTGCTTTCTGTGGTTACAACTACATATTAGACAATCCAGAAATACGAGAAAGGTGTTTGGTGTGACTAGTGAAGACTCTGTAATAGTGTCATTTCCTGACTGCTTTATGCTGTCCGGCTCACACTGCCGTCCATGTAACTGATTTACATACTTGTCTCCTGGCACTGCCTGAAGAGAAGTATTTTCAGTTGCTGTAAGCTGTAATAAATATGAATTTTGAAGGCAGCAATTTTAAATCTGAATTCATTTCTATCTCTTTTATAGATTTTAATTAGGCATTTTTCTTATTTAGAAGTACAGTAAAAAAATCTTTTGGATTTACATACCAACAATAATAAGTGAGGTTTTCTTTTTCTTAGTACAAAAGAAGAAAGCTAGTACAATTGTGATGGATGATAATCGAGGTGGCAGCGTACAAATGGAATCATCCTGGCCCATTAAATCATTCTCTTTTGAAAGAGATTTACTCAGAACATTAGCAGAAATAAGATTCATTAATGCAGAGGTTAGTAAATTGTACAGCTGTCATATTCATTCTTTGTCTTTTCCATCCTTGGCTTTATTTATAGCACCGGTATACATTCAGCTCCAGGAATGATATGTCAGTTAGTAGAGATTGTAAACAATAACCGATGTGTTTGCATAGAAACTTAAAAAAAAAGTTATGTGATGCTCCTATCTAAAAAGTTTACATTCAAAGTATACTAATGTTTTCTCTGTCAGTACCGATGTGTTTTAGTGATTTTATTTCAAATGTTTGACAATTGCCCAAAGCTTTAAAATTTCACTTAGATAAAGTATTTTTTACAGGGATTATGTTAAATTCATTCTGTAGGATCTAAGGAATTAGAAAAACAGTATTTAATGTGTTTTTTGATAAATTGCTATATCCTGCAAGGTATTTGACAAAATTGTGGTGCTAATACTTTTTTGTAGAATGGAGACTGACTTGAGTAGAAGCCAGTCTGTTTTCAATGTGATAAGATTTGATGAAATTGCAGTTTTGTGTATTGATAATATATGAAAATTTTTATATATATATTTCTAGGCGACTATTCATTTGTTAAGACTAGAAGGTATTCAGCTGAATGATCATGCTGTCCTTCCTGAAGACACAAGCCAGCATCCCACAGGATATATTTCCAAACTTCCTGAACAGGATCCAGAATGGATGACATACAGGTGTTTTTCTTTAATCTATTACTAACTCTGGGGTGCTTGGCAAATTCTGTTTGATTATCACACCATGAAGATATTTTCAGAAGTTGTTACTTGTTAAAATAAAACCCATTGTTATCCAAGGCATTGTTATACATTGGTTCAAAGGCACGGATTCTAGTGGGAAAAGAGTAAGGTATTAAAGGGAAAGATTTTAAGAAACCATTTCTGAGTTGGTTTCCTTGTGGAATACCTACTGTTACCTAGGGTTCTTTCAACCCAAAACTCTCGTTAACTTTTACTCTTTGCTAGGTGGTGTCAGGAAATAATTCAGGGGAGACACGGTCGTCTGACCGATAAATGGATGGTACAAACAGGACAACACAAGAGAGCTTTCACTTAAAGTTAAACTTCACTTAGTCTAAAACACTTACAAATATCCACAACAGGTTAGTAAAACACCCCCACCCTCGATAGTTACCGAAGTTGAGTGTGGCTCTCGAGTGACACCGGGCAGGCTTCCGATGGCCAGGCTTCCGTCTGCCGGTGGGAATGAAGATGCGTCCAGATGTGAAGAGTCCTCAAGGAGACCTTGAGGCGTTCCTCCAAGTGTTCCCCAAAATTGTCCCACTAACTCAAACTTTCCTTCCCTATTTATCCATTAGTATTTGTGGCGGGGTCCTCTCCGCCCCTTTCCCTTTTCCCCGTGATTAAAGCGCTAGCCACCGGCCCGGAGGCCTAGTCTAGTAGCCGCAACAGGCCCTGAGGCCTAGTCCACAGTCACGGCAGGCCCGGAGGCCTAGTCCACAGTCACGGCAGGCCCGGAGGCCTAGTCCACAGTCACGGCAGGCCCGGAGGCCTAGTCCACAGTCACGGCAGGCCCGGAGGCCTAGTCCACAGTCACGGCAGGCCCGGAGGCCTAGTCCACAGTCACGGCAGGCCCTGAGGCCTAGTCCAACACTCGCAGCAGGCCCTGAGGCCTAGTCCAGCCTCCGCAACAGGCCCAGAGGCCTAGGCCACAGTCACAGCAGGCCCTGAGGCCTAGTCCACACCCTGAGGGGTTGGGGTAGGGAGGTCCGGGTCCTCCCTCTCCACCGGACCCCAACCCAGGGCCCTTATGGTGGTGGGTGGTTCCCACCACTGGTTCAGTGGGGTGGGGGGTCCTCCCCGAAACATTCTGAGCCCACCGGGCGTTCCCTGCCCCTTGCCCTGGGTTGCTTCCTATCCCAGCCTTGTGGCCGACGGAGGTCCCACCTGGCGATGCTGGGTTGGCGGCGGCGGCGGCCACGTCAGCTGGTCCCGTCTCTGGGGCAGCAGCGCAGGGGGTGTCTCCTGCAGCGGGGCGGGCAGCCCCCCGGCGTCAGCGTTGGGGGCGGGTGTCTCCTGCAGTGGGGAGGGAGGCCCCCCGGCGTCGGTGTTGGGGGCGTGCTCGCCCCAGAGATGGTAGTAGCAATCGCGGCGGTCCCTCCGGCTCTGAATCTGGCGGCATGTCTGGCGGTGGGCCTGCAGCTTGGGCCAGAGCTCCTTCCTCCCCGGCGGTCTGCCCCAACTGAGCAGCCCGGCAGTCTTTTATAGTGAGGCTGCACCTCGAGCATGCCCTGTAGGGCTGTGGGGGAGGGACGTGCTCTACCCAATAAGCGGGCTCCTCTCCCTCCTCCTCAGTGCGGGACAGGTTAATCCCGTCACAGTATTACAATAACATGTCACTCAAAAACTTGTTAAGTAAGCACTTTTTGAAGGTTAGGCAAGAGGTTTTCTTCTGATCATCAGTTTCACCAGATGCGTTTTTTAATTTTCAGAGACTTCATGCTTGGGGGTCATGCTGGATATATGTCTTAGGGCATTTAGACAAACTTCCTGTTTTTTTAAATGTATAGCTCAGTTTCTGTTTGCTTTTAAAAATAAACTTGGACTGACACATTGACCGTACAAAATTATAATTTTCT